ATCCATCCATCCATCCATCCATCCATCCATCCATCCATCCATCCATCCATCCATCCATCCATCCATCCATCCATTCATCCATCCATTCATCCATCCATCTACCCTTTTATAACTCCATAACTCAACCATTTAGAATATTCCATTTTTCTATTTTCCATTGCAAATCTCTTGCAGTTGACCTTCCTGTCTAACCTTAATATATTGAGAGATATAAAAGTCATTAATAAGTCATCCAAAAAGTGGAAAACACTCAACCGCCCGTCTTTGTGCTATGCCATTAGCGCTTGCTAGCTCAGTGCTAAATCTTCTCCGTTAAGTGCTCTCGTGACTATAAGTTATGCATTAATTTGTATCCCCGTTATGCTGTCTGTCTTCTGTTTTGTTACGAAAAAATTACGCACTATTCAGCCTTTTGACAGGTTTATGATCAATGTTCTGCACGATCTTCAGTGTTGCTGCTATATAACTCTTCTTTTGTTTTTTCTCTTGCAGATGACCCTCAGAGTCTTCCGCTGGGCAGATATCGATTGACAGCAGCTTTTATTAATTCAATTGGCGTGATTTCTAGTTATGAATTCACGAAGATTCGTCTAATCTACAGAACTTTTGAACAAGAATCTCAAGGCGTTGAGTTTTGAGACAACCACAATATCAAATCATCAGACGTTCAAATCTTGGGAAAATACGTTTTGGAGCTACTGCCCTAAATGTGAAATTGAAAACAAGGAGAAAGAATCCCAGTGGAAAGGTGATAAGCTTTTTGGTCGGCATAGCGCTGAAAACACAAAGATATTTAGTGATTTTCAATAACTGTAGGACAACTCTGAAGAAAACCGACCGAGACCAAAAAATTCAAGTTGGACTCCTCAACCTTTACGAAAGAAAACATCAATTTTGGGATCCTATTCAACATTAAATTCTTCCTTACAGTTTAAGGAACACAACTTCGTGCGCTTCAGTTTTTCTTCTCTCATCAATATCTCGCAACTAATGATCTGTTTTTAAATATTACGACGCCAAGAATATTGGCTCGAAGTTCAAATTTGTGTCGCTTTTGTTCCGTATCTAACGTTACTGTCTTTTATGACGACTAATTTGGAACGATAATCCTGTTGTCATAGAAACCGATTGACCAAGCTCAGAAGGCTATATCGACTGCTTGTGTAATAGGTACGTGCGTGAGAAGATGGAGAATATGGCTGAACTCGTCGTTATGACTATCATAATGATTTCAATTGCTTTGGCTGCCATTGGCGGGAACTTGTTAGTCATAGTTGCCGTGCTCTGGAACAAACGCATCCGCACAGTCCCGAATTTTCTCTTTATAAATCTAGCCGTGGCCGACTTCTTTCAAGGACTCGTCTCCATTCCCCTTAGACTCACGGAACAACTAAACCACAGCGATATCAAGCCTCTTGTTCCATGTTTAGTGGTAATACCGCTGACCATATTGTTCTACAGCGCGAGTAATATAAACTTGACGGTCATCAGCCTGGATCGTTTTGTGGCGTTGTACAAACCAATGCATTATAAGAACATTGTTACCCCTTGTAAAGTTATAACGACGGTGTTAATTTCTTGGATCATAGCACTGGTATTGGCGCTCCTCCCCATCATGGGGTGGGGACCTAAGAATGACATTGACTTGATTGACATCTGTCTATTTTCAACCACACTCACAAAGGAATATTTATTCATGTTATTCACGGTGATCAATTTCGTAGTACTTGTCATCCTCGGCATCACGAACATTTATATCTTAAGGACGGCGCGAAAACAAATCCGGCGGATACACGTGGTGACAAACGTTCGCGTGCTCGATCAGAACACAGACTCCATGTCGACTATGAACCAAACGGCCGAGACTACCGGCCCAACCGGGTCTAAGCGAAGCGGGATTTCTTCATTTGCTTCCTTTAGACGCAGAGCACATGCCAACGCGACTCGCTTTTCAGGCCGTCGTGAACGAAAAGCCACCAAAGTAGTGCTGATAATTGTGGGTTTGTTTATCATTCTGACCGTGCCTATTACTGTGATTGACATATTAGGCGTATTTGACGTCGATGTTGACGTTCCTCTACTGTTGATTAAGATTACTGCCTGCATGGCTTACTCCAACGCATGTTTGAACGTGTTTATTTACGCGGGGTACAACAAGGACATGAGGGATACACTTACAATGATGTACTTGAGACTCAAATGTTTTTTACGCAGACAATGACTGTCATTTATAGAAACAAATTACTTTAATTTCTACCTTGACCTTAACAGAATCGGGATGATGGAACGGTCCCGCAGGTTATAGAAACATTCTGCGCATGTTATGGAATCATCGCGTGGCCCAGGGAGAGATCTCTGGGGTAAACTCTTCCTGGTCACAATGATACTTATGATTTCTTTTTCCACTTTTCCATTTATTCATCGAATAACTGATACTTATGATTGGAATCATGGTCATTACAATCCCGCAACTTAAAAATGGACGCCGCATTTGTAACTGGATCATATCATGAGGTCCAAGGAAAGATCTCTGAGGCAAACCATTCCCTCATAACAATTGCTAATGTTGGTTATTCCATTGGCACAATCCCGCGAGTTATGAAAACATATCGCGCATGTCATGGAATCATTACGCGGTCCGAGGAAATATCTCTGGGGTAAACTCTTCCCTGGTCACAATTACTAGCGACCATTTTATAACAGTTATTATTCATTATGGCTAGACAATCCCGCAAAATACAAGGTCGACAATCCCGGGGGTTAATAAACAACCTCCCACCTCGTTTGTTAATCAAATTTATTTCATAATGAAGAATATACAGAATATAAATATTATCGAGTTAACTATTTCTTATTTAATGCAAAAATGTAATCTAATTGCTATTTAACAGTAAATAACGTTTTAATGTACAGACCAAGAGGAATACGAAAAATAGAAACTCGCTTAACATATCAAAAGTTAAAGCAAACAAACAAACAAACAAACAAACAAACAAACAAACAAACGAAAAACGTTTAAAAAATGATCATTTTATTATGATTTGAATTATTCCTAAGAATTCGTCTAATCCATTTCAGGTACATTCTTATTTCTACGCATTCATTTAATCCATTCCATGGCTTATTTCTATAGTTTTATCCAATCCATTTGCGATTGTATAAAATCTTATATTCCTACACATTCATCTAATCCATTTCATGGCTTATTTCTAGTTTTATCCAATCCATTTGCGATTGTATAAAATCTTATATTCCTACACATTCATCTAATCCATTTCAGGTACACGTATTCATTCTTATTCCTACACATTCATCTAATCCATTTCAGTTATATTCTTATAACTCTTACACGTTCATCGAATTCATTTGAGGTACATTTTTATTTTGAATTTATGTATATTTCTTTGTGATCACAATATACATTTTTGGTTGCTAAACTCGATTACAAAAAATGCTTGTCTTGACAAACAATTACTTCGAAGCTCAATTTCGTCTTGGAAATTATCCAGCATGATGAGTATGACGTCACATATGATTAATTAACTAATTCTAATTGTTAAGACAAATTATTGATCATACAGCTAATGACGTTGAGTCTCAACAAGCAAGTGTAAAATTTAAGCAATTTTTGCTCATAAAGTCAAAAGGTTGACTCATACTGTAAATGGTTTTCAGATCATGAAGGTTGGTTCTTTGCAAACGTACCACTGGTCTTATGAAATCTTTTGTGAGCTCCTTTTGTCATCGTTAATTATCAAATAACAAAGGCACTGCTAAAAAAAGCCTTTTGCATAGAATATTGTTTAGCAAGACTTCAATTATTTCACGGAAAGATGTAGTTGTGAATTCATATGGCGTATTTCCTTTTTGTTCATGGCCGATTAACTTGAACAGGAATGCAAAGTCCTCTTTGTTGATGCACAAAAACATTTTATTAAGAAGTCTAAGGTATATGATTAAGTTTTAAAAATAATTCCAAGCTTACAAGACACATTCTAAGGAGCCCCAGGGATGTTTATTCCGATTGTCAGAAGTAGGTTCTTTCAAATTCAGATTGGGAAAAGTTGTTATCAATATTAATGATAATAATATAGGAGAAAACATCTGCCATACTGAAGTAGTTTTTTTTTTTGCTTCTGTTTGCGCTTTGCAAATCGACCGTGAAGGAAAGGCAAGTAACCAATGACTCTAAGAACTCTTGCTCTCTCAGAAAATACGAAACAAGTTCAAAGACAAGGACTGTTTACTTTTTATTCAGCCGCTGAATCGAATTGAAGAGCTTTTACACATGTAATTAGAAGGCAAGCAACTGAAAAATTCAGTTGTTTGCTCGGATCTTTTGTGCCGAATGCAAGACCAGATATAAACAGTTGGCCAGTCAATTTCATCCCTGGTATCTTCAAGAAATCATTTTAAGTCGTCACCCAGACAAGCAAAAAAAAAAAAAAGGCTAGCAGAACCCGCGAAAAGAACCAAAGAAGCGACAGTTTAAGTATTATTTTGGAGACAGAATTATCCCCATCGAAACTATAGGTGGCTATTCAAGTTTTCTGCCGGAACCGAAGCCAAAGATATTCTAACGATCTCTTGTTATTTTGTCAGCTCTTATAAGAATTTTGTTCGAATAATCTATTGTTAAAAGTGTTGCGATAAAATCTTACCAAAGATAGCCAGATTATTTCTACGGCAACGAGTTTTAAAAGACTGTTACAGTAACTGATGCACTGAGATGCTTAGCCAAAGCCAGAAAGTCATTTCTTTATCAGAAAACACGAAGCTGAAGGCTGCCAGTGAAAAGCTACCTGACATTTGTCATGAAAGCAGAAAAAACGATTTCGAAGTTGAAAATTATCTTTGTCAAAGTGATTGCTCAAGAACAAGGAGAAACTACAATGGTAGGAAGTATTGTTCATTTTGCTGCAAAATACACGGAAATTTGACAGCCGAGGAAGGATTTGAAAAATTATATCGAGGCAAACAACAGAGAAAACGGAGTACTGTCAAGGATTTACTTGGACAAGAAAATTTACCAAGGAAGAATGTAAAGGAAAGCGAAGAATCCAGTTCAAACTGCTCTTCATTCTCGTCGTCTTTAATCAGTGTAACTGGAGAAAAGTTATACAAAATGCCAAAACATATGGCAAGAGAAAAAGTTTACCGTGAAAAAGGACTCACATTTAGTTCAAAACCACCATCTTATTCAGCTAATGTCTACCCAAAAACATCATATGAATATAGTCACCATGGAAACGACAATGACAGACTAGTGATTAAGGTTATGATGCCGAAGATGAGTTTTTGAGTGTTGTGTCATGTTATAGTTACCATGGTGATTGTTATTAATCGGATTTTTTGCTACCTTCTTTATGTAAATAACAATCAAGTGCAGGCCAACTTTATTTTTCTTTGCTACTTTGGAGTAATGAAACTCTATTTTTTGATAACTCAACAGTTTGAGTCACTAGAATGAAGCTTAAAAAACCATGCAAAAACTCACTTCATATCCATATTTAGTAAGCTTACCTTATTTTGAATGAACATAGATTTCTTTTTGGTGATTTCCCCGTCACTTGAAGCTTTAAAATGTTGAAAATATGAATCAAAACTTCCAGATATCATAGCGAAGAAACGCTTCAAATTGTCCACCATCTTGAATTTACCTTAGAGACCTGGCCATTTGATAAAGAAAGCCCAAAACCTTTCAAACCACAGGGAACCCGCGCGAATGACAATATAAGTTTGATATCGATTATAAACAATCATAATTATTTTCTTCGATTTTTCTTTATTTTTGTTTGGTTATCGCTAATACTTGCGCAGTCTACGTTAAAAAAACAATTATAAAATACCACGCAAAGGATAGACCTTTGGAATGATTCCCTTCTTTTAGATTTCCCCTCCCTCTCTTCACAGAAAAAAAGAAAAGAAAAGAAAAAGTAAAATATTCAATATTATTAAGAAGAATGAGAGAAAAAGGACCGGGGAAAAAAAAAAACCACCGGGAAAAGGAAAAGCTTCTTTTTTTCCTGGTATCATGACGTCATACTGATAATCCGGGTATTCGGACGCGCGTGCGCAGAATTTTGAACTAATGGCGGGAAAGTAAAAACCTCTTACGTCGAGTAGAACCTCCATGTTTATTCAAAAATATTCCTTTATTTTTAACTCTGAAAGTGCTCAAACAGCATAGAATAGAACAAGAATATTTTCTGAAGTATCCTATGAGGTATTTTTTTCCAAATAGCTAAGAAGTTGTGAGTTTTTAAGCCGTAAATTTTGGATTTTGGTCGACGTAAAATGCTGGACGAATGATCTAACTTGATGGTTGACAGCAAGAACTTCAAAGGTACAAACGATTTTAATTCAAATATTTGTGTATAAATTTATTATCAATTAGTTATTTAATTTCATTCATATTTTGCGTTAAGAAAAGCAAATCTCTACTGGGGAAATAATTAATGAAAGTTTATGTTTTTGTGATATAATTTAGCCGGAATAATTGATATTTTTTCGATGAATGAATGAGTATTTTAATCAGTCATTAATTAATTTATTCCTTCCTTCCTTCCTTCCTTCCTTCCTTTCTTTCTTTCTTCCTTTCTTCTTTCCTTCAGT